TAGTTACCTTGTAAGGGGTTATGCATCAGTAAATTTCAACATTAGGAAAATGGTCTCCAAAAAAAGCTTTAAAGCTCTTTGTACTTTGACATGTATTTGTATGGCACATGTTTTTGGCCATAACACATGAAAAAATAAGTACTGAAATACTTTTGAACATGTTACTTCAATTATAAATGATCTTCAGTATTGTTTCTATATCCTAGACTAGATCTAGAATGCCAGTCAAAATAGGAATACCAGGTCTACTTCATCCTACTGAACAGGGTCTAGGGTAAAGGCTGGCTTCCAGAATCTGCATTTTTAACACCTTCCTAGATGTGTGTTGTGCTTATCAAGTAGAGATCTTCTCTTACAGATCTTGTGGGTCAGTGGGATAAACAGACCACAAAACAAGTCTGAAGCCATTGAATGAGTTGATGTAATGGATTGGGTTTTTAGGGTGATCCATTCAACACTGATATAAGCTTCTAAGTGAAACACAACCAGAGTAGGTTTTATGCTTTTTATCCCCAGCAATAATTAGCCATGAAATGCAGCCATTGTTTAGGGTCAAAAACAATTTATGATTCATTCATTTATTCAGAAATATTTGATGACTATCCACTACTTATGATCACCTCAGTAGATGCAGAAAAGTATTTTAACAATATATAACACTCATAATCGATAAAAACTCAGCAACTAAGAATAGAAGAGTACTTCCTTAACCTTATGAAGGGCATCTATGAGAAAAAATTCTGTTAATTTCATTCCTTGGACTGAAGGACTGAATTCTTTCCCCCCAAGATAAAAAACAAAGCACAGATGTTTTCTCCATCACTTATATTCAAAATTATATTGGAGAGTCTAGCCAATAAAATAAATAAATAAAATAAAAAGCATCCATATTGGAAAGAAAGAAGTAAAATTATCTTTATTTGCAGGGAATATGATTGTCTATATAGAAAATCTAGTGGAATCTACAAAGAAGCTACCAGAAATTATAAATAAAGTTAGGAAGGTTGCATAATACAAAATCAATATGCAAAACTCAATTGTATTTCCATATGCAAGCAAAAAACACTCAAAAGTTTGGAATTTTAAAATATGCCATTTATAATGGCATTAAAAATATGAAAAACTTGGCAATAAATATGATTAAACATGTATAAGACTGTACACTGAAAATTAAAATGGCATGACTGAAGGAAATCTAAGAAGACCTAAATAAATGGACAAGGTCTAATTTCATGCATCAGAATACTCAATATTTCTCCCCAAATTGATCTATAAATTCTATGCAATACAAATCAAAATTCCAGCAAGATTTTTGGTAGAATTTAACAAGCTGATTAAAATTCATATGGAAACCAAAAGACTTAGAAGAACTGAAATAACTTTGAAAAAGAACAAAGTTGGAACACTTACACTATCTGACCTCTAGAATTATTATAAAGCTACCATAATCAAGCAGTAAGGTATAGCATCAAGATCTGGATAGACAGATCAATGGAACAGAGAGTCCAGAAATAGATCTACAATCCCAAATTGAAAAGTGCAAGGGAAATTTAGTGAAGACAGGATAGTCTTTTCAACAAATGCAAATGGTGCTAGAACAATTAGATATTTCCATGAAGAAGGAAGGAAGGAGGGAGGGAGGGAGGGAAGGAGGAAGAAAAGAAGGAAGGGAAGGGAAGGGAGGAAGGGAAGGGAAGGGAAGGAAGGAAGGAGGAAGAAAAGAAGGAAGGGAAGGGAAGGGAGGAAGGGAAGGGAAGGGAAGGGAAGGGAAGGGAAGGGAAGGGAAGGGAAGGGAAGGGAAGGGAAGGGAAGAGGGAGCAGGGGAGGAAGAGGAAGAAAAGTACTGTTGATCCCTAACTCTACATGATATACAAAAGTTAACTCAAAATGGATCAAATACCTAAATTTGAAACCTAAAAGCTAGAACAATGCTTTCTAGAGGAAAACATGGAAAATCTTTATAACTTTAAGTATCTAAGAATATATAATATAAAGAGCTCTTAAAACTCAATAATAGGAAAAAATGGGCAGAATATCTGTATAGACACTCCAGCAAAAAAGATACACAGATGTCCCATACCACATGAAAAGATACTCAACATTAGTAGTCATTAGGGAAATGCAAATTATAACCACAATGAGGTGCCAGTACACATTCATTAGAATGGCTGAAATTAAAAAGACTGAGTGCTGGCAAGGGTGTAAACTAGCTGAAACCTTTATATACTGATGGAAAAGATGTGAAATGGTTACAACCACTTTGGGAAACCAAAAGTTTTGTAATTTCATAAAAGTTGAATATTTACCTACCATATGATCAACAGTTCCACTCTTGTACGGAAATATAAGCATATGTCCACACCACCCAAAGACTTGTATGTAAACATTCATAGTAGCTTTATATGAAATAGCCAATCACTAAAAACAAGCCAAATGCCCATCAGCAGATGAATAGCTAAGCAAGTAGATACATGCAATGGACTGTGACCCAACAACAAAGGGGAAAGGGCCATTGATACACACAACCACATGGTGAGTCTCAAAATAGTATGCTGAGTGAAGAAGCCAGATAAGAAAAGAGTGTGTGTGTGTGTGTGTGTGTGTGTGTGTGTGTTTTCCCCCTATGGTTGCATTTATATAAAATTTTAGAAAATGCGAGCTGATATGTAGTGAGAGAATGAGGATCAGTGATTGGAGGTGTGTGGTAGGGAAGGCAGAGAAGGTTACCGAGGGCATGAGGAAGCATTTAGAAGTGAGGAAACTTGGGGGAGATAAGTATATTAATTACCTTGATCATCTCACTGGTTTTATGGGTCTGTGCATAGGTCAGAACTTATCAAATTACACACCTTAAATTTGTGCCTATAATTTATAGCATACCAATTACACCTCAATAAAGCTGTTAAAAGAAAGGAATTCACCAGTTTTTAAACCTGAGTTTGTATGTGATTTTTTTTCTTGAATTTCGTTTAACTGTGGGAAGTTAAATGACAGTTAATAACAGTTAATAGTTAATGATATCCACAGTGTGTCAGGAACTATACTAGGCAACTTATATGTGTTATTTAATTTTCATAATAATCTTCATTTTAAAGAAGAAAGTTAGCTATATTTTTTCTCCCTGTAGCATGAGGAAACAAGATCCAAAAATAATAAATAAGTTGCTCAGAGGCATATTCACTAGTATGTGCAGTCTTAATTTGATATTTTTTCTTAACACTTCATGAATTTTTATTAAACTAAGAAATAGGCTTCCCCCTGATTACCCAGGCATGGTTCGGTCAAGGAGAGGTTCACTCTGTCTTTTAAAGTCTCTCTCCAAGAAAATTGGAGTGGAACAAAGTATCTTCCGAGTGTCCAAACAGTGTTTTGGGAAATGCATATTTTATAATCACATATTATTTCCCTAAAATCACCAAGTTCACTTAAAAGTTAGCAATAATGAGGGAAGTCAGGAAGTGTAATAGATGTGGCCGCCTTACGTGCTCTGGAATGCCCATTTAAACCGTGGGCGCGCAGACGGGAGGGCCACGAGCACACCACAGTGCTGCCGCATGTCACTGGTGATAAAAGCACAACCTCTGGGGACTTCTCTTCTCAAAAAGAAAATAAATAAAATCAGTAGATGGTCAAGCAGACAGAGTAGCCAGTTATCAACAGTGACACCCAAGAAGCTACTGAACCCACTGTCCTTCGGGCCACTCCTGGAGGTTGTATGGCTTCAGGATTACAGAGCCCTTTGAAACGTAAAAGAGAGAACAACTAAGAAATTTTCTATGTGCAAAAAGAGACAAAGCTGGTTTGTCTGCAAGGGGACACTCATAAGGAGTATTCCTGAGATCCACTAAAGATCCCTGGGCTCTCCAGACACGCAGATCCCCCTGCCCTGGCTTGCTCTCAGACCTTTCAACTAAAGAATAGTGATTTTCTGCTAAAAAAATGACATCTTCTAATAACAAAATAAACATGTAATAAGGAAAATCCAAAATATAACACAAAAGGTATTATGCTGCTTGTATAAAAGACTTCAAGTATTGCTCTTAATTGTAAGGACAGGGAAGATTATACTAAGATATCACCAAGTCAAAACTTTTATTTTTATTTCCATTTTAAAATTTGTTTTTGTTTTTTGTATTGACCATATTTAAGACACTAGCAGGATGCTGCATTTATCCAAAGACAAAAATGGTCTTATTGCTCATCATTCTTTGAAATTATATTCTAAATTTTTTTCTAGAGTGAAATTTAATTCCACTAAATTTATTTTTCTAAACTAGTACTCATGAACTGAACAACACTATGGGTCTCTTCATTAACTGTTCACCTGGAGAAAAGACTACCATCTCTATTGTTGAGGATATCATTAAAAGAAATGAGGCTAGCTCATCGAGTCATAGATTTTCAGAGCTGGGAGGAATTTTTAAGCACAAACACTTGAGATGCCTTGAGAAATGGCGTGAGGAACAAAACCCACAGCACATAGGCAGAACTGGAGCCAAATCCAGGTGTTCCCAGAGTTTGTTAATCCATTACCTATTTCTGTAGATACATAGTTAAAAAATGGGGGGTCTACTTGTCAGAATTTTTTCTCCTACATATTCCAAATAATGGATCCTTTTAAGTAAAACAATTTTATTTTGTTTTTTTCCTTCATGAGCTTTAATTTGTACTATGGTAACTGCATCATCCACACAGTAAGAATATGTTTATTAGTAAATTTAACAATAATTATTTAACAATAATTTATTTTAATTATGGCTTAAACAATGGAATAATACACATTGGAGGTGCCAGTCACAGGAATTATTATTTTTTTAATTATCAGATTTTCTTATCCCACCTTTTGCCTTTAAAGTGATCTAGTATATATAGAGACTTCCTTAGAATTAAGTGCCAAAAGGGAAATTAGGTTGGTTTGTTGTTGTCTTAATTCTAAACTGGTGTTCTTTTTTTTCAGAAGAGTATTCCATTCCTTCACTTTCTGTATATTTACATTTTAGGAAATTCAGCCAGAACCTGGTTGCCCAGCTTTGGTATTTTGTGAAATGTGTTTACTTCGGATTGTCTGCCTACCAAATCCGCTGTGGCTACCCAACACGAGTCCTTGGAAATTTCCTTACAAAGAGCTACAATTATGTCAACCTCTTCTTGTTTCAAGGGTAAGGACACTCTGTATAGTCACAGCCACTTATGGGGGGAGGCTGGCCACTGAAGGACATCTTGGCTCCCAGCTGGGAAGGAAGGGGTCCAAGAAGAACATAGCAATATTGACAAAAGAACAGATATGGCTTTTTGAACACCTTTCTGTGTGTAATTGCCATACGCCTGTCCAGGATGTTGGTCTAGATTCACATGGGTTAATTTTCTACGTCAGTACCCTGCATAATAATATTCGAGGATAAAAATGGAGATACATGATCCCTAGATATTAATGTCCTTCTGGGCACAGAGCACAGAATTGTTGGAGTCTGGATGATTCTAAATACCTTTGGAATTCCACAATACCTTTAGAATTTTTTATGTAAGTTCTTCCATTGAAGAAGGGCATTTATTCCACCTAACACCAACCTGAGTGCCTTATGACTTGCTTGTTCCTGATAGTAAGTTAGCTACTCAAACAAACCATGTTTTTCTGTGTGATAATTTCAGTGGTAGCATCTTTCTGCACAAAAGGTGAGGCTGTTGGTGGCACTGCTGGCTCCTGTATAGCACCAGATAGAAGAGGGGGTGGTATGGCCAGATGTTGTGAAGCGCTATGTGTTGAGCAGTGCTTCATTCAGTGCTAGCCCGCGTCTGGACCTAATATTTCCTACAGGGCTTGGATTAGTGTTCACTCAACACAGCTGAGGCAGCCCAGGGGAGAATTTTTAAGTGACAACTCAAACTGCTTTGCGGGGCCTGAGAGGAGCCAAAGTTCCCTAGCCTGGGAGGAGCCCTGTGTTAGTCAAGAAGTAAGGAACATTCCTCAGAGCCTAGAGTCGCCCAGGCCAATCCCTTCTGCAATACAGCTGAACCACAGAGGCTGCGCAGAGACCTGGCCTTTGCGTTGAGGCAAGGCCACTTGCGGTGGCACTCCCGCCCCAGCTCTCCTGACACTTCCTGCTCCCTGGGGCGGGCCTCTTTTATTTATCAGGTGTATTGTCTTTACCAACTCATCCAGCCCCAAAGCCATAGTGATTCCGTAACCCTATGGCCAACAGAGTCTCATAATATGAACAAATAAATGTGAGAGAAACTGACTCACCTACAAACTTATTTAAAATGGGGATTCCCAGTTTGTTAAGACCATCAGAGCAAAGAAAAGGAATGAAAAATATGAATCCATACTTTACACTCATAATGCAAAGTGCTTGTATTTCATGTTGGGTTTTACTGTAAGGGTGACCTTGAGAATTTTTCCTAAGTCATGAAGGTTAAAACAGTAAGGAGCTACAAGGGGCTCCTGAGGTTAGGGGCCAGTGGGGACCCTCCTACAAATGTCCCTCTGACAAGACATGGTTCCTGCCAGCTTCCGCCTCGTCCCGTTTTTGACCGAGCTGAGGGCAGTGATGGACTGGGTGTGGACAGACACAACCCTGAGCCTCTCCAGCTGGATCTGCGTGGAGGACATCTACGCCCACATATTCATCCTCAAGTGTTGGCGGGAGTCGGAAAAGGTAGGAAGCCAAAAACCGTGCCTTATTTCTGTTTGTTTCTCTTAGATACAGGCTGGTGATAAGATTCATGTGAATTCCTGCAACTTTTGTGGCAGGGAGCAAAAACTACCACAAGCTAGGAATGTCTAGCTGATTCCCAGCCTGCTAGAGCTGGGAATTTTAGACTTACTGCCGCCTTAGTCAGCAATAGCATACAGATGTTTTCTTCTTTTGGCAACTCTTTTCGTAGTTATTTTTAAATGGAAGGAATAACATACTGCTCAATATATTCCAATAACTCTTGAATGGTTCATTTGGGAGCAAGAGGGATGGGGCATGGGAAAGAAAGGTGGGGCCAGTGTCTTAGACTCACGCTCACCTCTGATTCACTTTGTGCAAAGGAAATTGAAGTGCAAATATCTGCTAGGTTGAATATTAAGATTTAAATATGGATGGGTTACTATTACTGACTGGATTTTTTAAAAGTAAAACATATGAAAGAAGTGCTTGCATAAGGGCAATAACAATACCTAACAAGCAGTAGGTGGGGTGATATCAAATGTCTTTTCTTCTCATCTAGAAAAGAGCCTCCCTGAAAAAGTCTTCTCTATATAATTTCTAGTATGTTCTGCAGCTTCCCCTGGGAATTCCAGCATCAGAGTCTTGGGGGCTGTGGGAGGGTGGAGATGGGCCTGGCCCTATGCTTAGAATCATATTGGCTTGTCCTGATTTTTAAGGAGCAGAAGAGTTGATAAGATGACAGAATATGAGAGCCATTCCACCAAAGGGACATTAAGGGCAGCAAGGAGGGTCAAATAGGGTCTAGAAATCATGAGACATGAGGAAAAGTTGGAAGAACCGAGGATTGTTTGGTCTGAGAAAACAGACCAAACATGTGGTGTGTGCGTGCAGAAATAATAGCTCTTTTCAACAATCCGAAATGTTAGAAAGAGATGAGAAATTGAAATTAATTTGTGAAACTCAAGAAAAAAAAACAGAATTAATAAGACAAGCAGGCAAAACTACAGCAAATTTCTACGGACTATAAAGAAATTTTTGACAATCGAAGCTACTCCATTACAGAATTGGCTTCCTTGGGAGGCAGTTGCCAAGAAACGTCGAAGCACACACTCAGGATCAGAGAGTTCACATCAGGAAACCTCTGGCCTAGAAAGCACCGGGTCTATCTTCAGCTCCCAGAGTCATTCATTCAAGAGACATAATATCAGTTGTCTATTGCTGCTAACAAACTGTCTCAAAATATAGTGGTTTGAAAACAACAACCATTTGATTTGCTCACAGGTCAGCCATTCGGGCTGGGCTCCACTGGACGGTCTTGCCTGGGTCAGTCCTGTGGCTGCTGTCCTCTGGGGCCCAGTTGGGGCCGACGTTCCTTGATGGTGTTTCTCAGGCACCTGCAGGTTGGGTCTGGCTCTTGGTCTGGCCTCTCCCTGTGTATCGTGTCACCCGCAGGAAGGTGAGCCCAGGCTTCGGCCCCTGGTGACGGCACATTCCGGGGAGTGCGAGGGCCGCTGCACAGCCCTGTGAGGCCGAGGCCCGGAGTTCCCTCACCACTACTTCTGCAGGCCCAAGCAAGTTCAAAGGCCAGCCTAGATCCACGGGGACGGAGAAACTGATGGCATTGGCAAAGGCGTGTTGCAAAGGGGCATGCACACAGGAATGAGAAGAATTTGAGGTGTTTTTGTTGTTTTTTCCAATCTACCATAAACATTTACTAAGCACGTCCTAAGTACCCAGAACTCAGCTGAGCATAAGAATAGAGTAGTGAACCAAACATGGCAAGACACAAATATTGATAAAATACTCACAGAAATATTATTAAACACAATATACTACAAGGCTTTGCCAGAGAGTCACACAATATTCCAGGAGCATCAGGGAGGTTGGGTGTGAGCTGGAGCTGAGCACTGACAGCAGAATATCGACTCGGTGCTCAGGGAACATCCACATCACTGTTTGTTCCTGGGCCCTTTGCCCTGTTCCTTGTCCCCTTTCCTCCACTCTGGCAGGGGCCTCTTCAGTGGATGTTTTACCTCTTTATTCCCCAGAAAACGCCTGACACGTCTTCTCACTGTCTGGATCATCTTGCCCACCTCCATCCCAACCTCTAGGTGTCCACCTAGACATTTCCGTGGGCCTCCCTGGCTCCTTACATCTGGGCCCCATCTTTCCTGTGGGCCCCAGGAACTACCTGTATTTGGCCCATTTAGTACTTATCACATTGTGGGTCAATCGTCTCTCTATTTTTCTCAATCATAAGCTCTGCGATGACAAGCTCGGTGTTTATCGATATATAGTGTAGAGATCGCTTAATACCCTGAGCCCAGCACACAGTAAATACTTAGTGAATACCACCAACAGCAAAATAAAATCAGGTGGTGATTTACAAAAGTATGTCATAGCTCAGTGCCTCTCTATCCCACTGTGGCTACCTGACATAGCTCCACCCATCCTGCCCTGTCTCGGGCTCTCTGGAGCTAAAGCTGCTGATTCTCTCCTGGTTTCCTCCTGCCCTGTTCTTCTGTCCTTCATTCTTTCCATATGATATAGACCCAGAAAGAAAAGATAAATTCAAGAAGCCAAATATGCAGAGTTTGGGATACATGCATACTGAGAATGGATGTTGAATCTTATGTTCACAAGGTCTCTGGTGACCTTTAGACAAGCAGTTGCAAAGGGAGGGTGGGTGCTGACTCCGACTGCAGGGCCCTAGGAGCACATGGGAGGCAGCGTCCTGAAGGCATCAAGCCTAAGCAAGGGCAGGGAGGGAGAGAGAGATAATTCAAGAGGGAGGCAAGCCCAGGGGTAATTTCAAATTGGAGAGGATTTGAACCTCTCTGTAGGTGGTGACGAAAAGACCAGGAGAAAAGAGAAAAGTAAAAATTCTAGTATCAGAGCATGGCAGAAAGGTCCAGATGGGCACCTGGAGAGTGTGGAATCAGAGGCACGGTGAACCAGTTAGTTGACAGCTGGAGAACGCCCATCTGCTGGGAGCATGAGGAGAGGTGACAATTTAAGGACAAGAGCTGACCCATGGCTCCCAGGACCTGACTGTGAGATGCCGGTTCACGTGGGTGAAGAGGTGGCTCTCAAGAGGGAGGTTTCTGAATTAGAAAGGGCCCCCCTAAATGATCCCGCCTGGTGTGACGTCCTGCGTACATGCAAGGCCATGTTGCACATGAGAAGCCGCAGCTGTCCATTCATTGTCTCATGTTCACCTTTCAGGGCCTTTGAGCCACCAGATGGGGACATTCTTCCCACTGTCAGTGAGGCTGCCACAGCTCTTGCTCTGGCTTCCTGTGAAGGAGGCTCTGGCCTCAGCACCAGGCATTTCTGCCAAACCAAGACCTGCAGTTATCTTGTTTATTTTTATTTATTTTTAAGAAATAAAAAGCCTCATTTAAATAGATAACCTCTACTTCAATATATATTCTTATGCCAAGTTGATGACTTTTTCAGAAAATTAGCCTTTTAAATCGCTCATGGTAAAACTTCCTGAGAAATTTAGGTATGTGGGGGTCTAAATGAACCTAGCACAGTTGATAGCATACCCCACCCATCAGAGTCTGGGGCATCACCAGCAGCGATCCCCTGCCTAGTATGAAGCAGAAGCGTAAGCTACTTCTAAAAGCAGCTCCTCTTGGGCATCGCACTGCATCAGGTGTCGCATGCTGCAGGGCTTTATGAGCACACTTTATGAACCAAGAACAATCACCTGGAAAGGCAAAATGTTGGCATGAGCACACACAGTGCAGCCCAGTCACTGCTGCTCAGATTTTACAATGACTTCCTCACAGCCATGCCCCAGAACACTGTGGGAAGCAGACTAACAATGCAGTGTAACAGGAGCACAAACCCGGAGGTCTCAAGCTGAGTGACCTAGGAAAGGGGTGACAGCCCAGGACAAGAAGGCAACAGGGAGGGTAGACATAGCCCATAATTCGAGACAGGTCAAGAGGTTTGGGCCCTGTTCTCCCTGGAAATGCACAAAGGGGTAGACAGCAGGAGAGGGGAGGGTGGCAGCGGGAGCTCTGGGAATTTTCTAGAAGAGCCTGAAGGGGCCAGGCCTTCAGGAGAGGAACTGATGTGGTCCCACTTCAGGCAGAACAGACTAGGGCTGTTCTTGGCAGAGATAAGATGGATTTTCTTTAACTCAGAGAACCGTTTGCGACGTGATGTTGTGACATGACGTTGTGACGTAGGTGCTTTTGGACAACAGAGGCCACCTGTCGAAGCCTGCCTCGTTGAGGAAATAATGAAACAGCAAATCTATATGCATGTGCTTGCGTTTGCACGTATACGTGTGGAAGCCTGCACCTGTGTGTGTGCATGCGAATATATATATATTTCAAATTTTCAATATTGGACTCCAGTTTTTTTTCACTGTAGAAAACATAGTCAACAGTATCAAATTTCAGTGCTAAGATAGCACAGTACACTGCTACCATCTGGACTTCATACAGCTTCCACAGTGCGGATCACACCCAGTGTTGCCCCTGCACTGAATGAGGAGCAAGCCCCACTGGGGCCCGGAGACACGGACCAATCAAGCTCCATTCTCGTGTCTTCAGGACCATCTCTGGCCATCAGTGCCAAGACTTGTACAGCCACCTCACCGTGTCCCAAATGACAAACCAACCTTTGTCCTGGTTTGCAACCTAGAGCACATGCCTACAGATGGATTGTGCATTATTCTTCCTGAACTTCCCCTGTTGAAATGAATGAATGGATCCCTCCTGAAGATAAGTCACACTGCCAGGTCAGGGAGTAGGGATGAGGGAGACCCTGAAAGGACAGAAGGTCACAAGGGAGCAACCCTGAAGCAAGGATTACACATCTAGAGCAGAAGCAGGTGTGATGCCAGACAGCAAAGCCTCCCCTCCACCCACCCGTGGCCTCTAAGCACAGCGCTTAATGGTTGCTTAATAACCTGTATGGAAGCAAACAGAAGTGAGTCCAGCCTTACCTACGCGCTGGCTCCTACAGGAGAGCAAGGCCCCTGGGACACAGCCTGCGCCCAGCCACACGCCTACACCCACTGGCACCCAAAGGGGGCTCTTCTAATCATACAAATCTTATTTTAGGACTTGAGCAACACTGTCCTTAACAGTATATATCATGCATTAAATTAAAAATAATGTTTTTCCATCCTTAAAAGGTAGAGAGGGATCAATTGAAAGGCATAGATTTTGAATATTTAGGAATTTAAAGTAAAATGTCTTTCACCTGCACAATTCCTTAAGACCAGAAGGTTTATTCAGCAGGAAATTTGATCAATAGGTTCATCACCAGCAAAACCCACTCCACAATTTTGAAAGGGAGAAAGTCACTCAGCTCATGTTGGTCCCCTATGGTACCACGGGGGAGACACGGAGGGAGCTCAGGACAGCTTCGCATCACTACCTAACTTCGTCCCGTAGTTGGGACATGGCTGCTATCCCCATTTCAGAGCAGAGAAGAATCAGGGCTAAACGCACATTTCCTGACACCATGAGAAGAGCACCCCCCCCTCCCCACCCTGCTTCGTGCAGGGGCAGCTGCCTGAGCCCTGTCTGAACCCTTCTGTTGCAGAGATACCCTCAGCCCCGGGGCCAGAAGAAGAAGAAGGTGGTGAAATACGGCATGGGGGGCATGATCATTGTCCTGCTCATCTGCATCGTCTGGTTTCCTCTTCTCTTCATGTCTTTGATCAAATCTGTGGCTGGCGTCATCAACCAGCCCCTGGACGTCTCTGTCACAATCACCCTGGGAGGGTACCAGGTAATCCCCAGGCACGTCCTCCGGGTCTCCCCTGCCTGCCCGAGCCTTGCCCAGTGCAGCACTCTTTCATGATAAACACCTGTGGGATGCTTAGTTATGTGTTGCTGATCCAACTGTCCCATCTACATTTTGACTGTTCAGCAAATACATGATTTGTGAAATAAGGTGCAAAAGATGATGGAAGAATATTCTGTTGTGGTCTTGAGCACAGGAATAAGCACTTCAAAAAGAAATCTCTTAGGCCGGTTGCCATCAGGGTAATCAGTGGGTGATATAATACTGTGTAAATGTTTTGCTTTCAGGCCAGGGTACAGATAAGAGCTCAGGGACATTGACAACACTGTGTGTCTTTGTTTTCCAGCCTATTTTCACAATGAGTGCCCAACAAAGCCAGTTGAAAGTTATGGACCAGCCCACGTTCAATTCATTTCTAAAAAATTTTTCTAGGGACACCGTAAGTAAATGCCTATAGTAGATCTCTATGAAGACCTTTCACCTAGGTGAGCTCACTGGTTGTCATTTTATTATATGCTTTGCTGTGGCCTGGAGTGGTGGGAGGAAGAGGACTTCTCAGAGATTATCATTGTGGATGTCAGACTCCTGGCCACTGGCTACTTTGATCATCTAAGAAGTTATGTCTGTTATTGGACAGAAGTGGTAATCCAAATAATTTTAATTTAGAACATTTTAATGTAAGCTCAACAAATATTGATCCATTTTTAAAATTTGTTTAACTTTTTAAATTGTGGTATGTATTGAACTTTTGAATATAGGTGCACCGTAGGAATCTTTCTTAAGAAGTAATCCAAAATGTGAGGAAGCTGTATGTGGGCACTTGCTTGTGAGTGCATTCTCTGGATTAGCAGAAACTGGAGCAATCTGAATGTTCAGCAAGCAGAGGCTGGTTGAAGAAATTATGGCAGATATATTAAATGAATTTGACTGGCACTGGTCACCTTAGCTGGTCAGAATGGGAGAAGGAGCTTTCACGTTTTATTTTATTGATGTGCTATGTTGTCTGTTGATTCTCCAAACAACTTCTTTTGTAATAAAAAGTACTCATTAGAGAGTCTATAAATGACATGACAATTTCTCAAGCTAAACCATAAATGAAAAGGGGGACTATTATTTTTTTAAAGGATAAAAAACAAGAAACACATCCCCTTCCACAAAAAACAATGACAGTGTTCTAGTGGCAGAGTTATCTATATTCCAAACTTTTAATAATATGAAAATATGATTCTTATGGCAAAAACTCATTTTACCAATAATGTCTTTCATTTAAGACAATGATTAGGCAAGGAAATGCTTCTCTCTTCTGAAAAGTTATCATCTATCATACACACTATCAAAACTAATCTCGACCAATGGATAGGGCTGGGATGTCCTGGGTGGATTAAATTTTGTCTCTTTCATGAAAGAGACATTCTCCCATAGTTTATAAATTTCCCTTTAGTGGAGAGGCAAAACAGCATTAAATTATCTGGTTTTCCTTCATCGTTCAATTGGAATGACTATGTAGCTGGAATGTTGGTAGTAACACCACCACTGGGGATGGGCAGTGTGACCGAGAATTGTCCACTGCTATGAGCAGGGAAACTAAGTTAGTGCAGTGGACACTCAAGACTGTCCTTCATAAAACACTCCCTCCATAGGGAAATATCTTCTCTGTACAGTCAGTTAAAAGGAAGAGTAATTGCTTTCTTTGTATGGCATCCTATATATAATCTATTCATGCATGTGTATTTGTGCACAAACAGGGTGCTATGCAATTTCTGGAAAATTATGAAAAAGAAGATATAACAGTAGCAGAACTGGAAGGAAACTCAAATTCTTTGTGGACCATCAGCCCTCCCAGTAAGCAGAAAATGATACACGAACTCATGGACCCCAATAGTAGCTTCTCTGTTGTTTTTTCATGGAGTATTCAGAGGTAGTTACTGTATTTCCATCCATAATTTCTCCCTTTCCCCAATCTAAACTTGGGGGTGGGATGGGAGGATAGAAGGATATAAACATTAGAGATTAATGTGGATCTTAGTTTATCATTACACCCTTGGGAACTTTCCTTCAATGCTAAAAATAGTATTAAATAATGACTTGTCCAGGAATCAGTGACCCGACTAAGAACTTCTTAGTTTTCCTGTGTGTTTTTTTGTGTGCTTGTTTTGTTTTACTATCTTCAGTTTTTAAAAACAGGCAATGAGTTCTGTGAGTGAGAGAGAGAGAGAGAGAGAAAGAGGGTGATGACTTATAAAATGAAACAGTCTGGGTGTGAATTGTATGATTTCCGTGAAAGGTTAAAGTTCAGTCTTAATGATACAGAAATCGCAGCCTCTGTAAGCCCCGAGCATCACTTGCACCCCTCAACACTGCGAAGACACGCCTGTTGCAGCAGGTCTTTCCCCCAAGCATGAGGTGCGAGGGCAGCTTGACTGTGTCAGAAGGAGGAGACAAACATCTTTTCACCTAACCTGAGCCCTTGGCCAGCATGCAGCCACTACTTTGTCTTTGCTTGTTTAGACAAAGCATGTATTACTAAAAGTTCTTACATCCAAATATTGCATCCAAAAGCCCAACAGTGTCATGATGCAGTTTTGGGGGCCTCAACATGATACACTAGCTGATGAGCTTAGTTTCTTTCATCACAGTCTTATAACTGGGGAACTCTAAGCAAGCTTGTTTGGGCAGTCAGGTAGTAGGTCCTTTTAGTCCATGATACAAACTTCTTAGTTAGAATGAAGAAAGAATAATGACAAGTACAGAAGAACTTTAGAGTCTAAAATAAATTCACAAGGAAATGGTGAAAAAATACTTTAAAAGGGGCTGTTCAGAATCTAGAGAACTTCTTTGATCTTATTTTCTTCTTTTAAGTGTTCCAAATTCCTCATATCCAATTCTGTATAAATTACCAAAAATGTACTTCCTAGCCTTTTCTTTGAAGAGCTACCAAAAAATAACAACGAAATTAAAAATCAACTTCTGATCAAATATTCTAAAACATGGATTCTATTAGTCACCATGGAGACTAACATCATTAGATTAATATAAGAATGTTTCAGAAATTCATATTAGAATATGAAGATGGTTTCTCTTTGGCCAGCAGATTCTACCTCCTCACATTCGCCTCTGTTTAAAGGTATTTGTGGCCTCCCTGGGTTTTATTAACTTGGTTGTCTTAGAAGCTGGACATAGAGGTGACGTAGACCTAAAGGGTGTGGACCTTTGAAATTAATAAAATTAAGAGTCAAATGAGTTTTTAAATTTCTCTTCTAGACTTCTGAATTTTCACTGACATTAAGCTTATTTTTTTTTCTTTACAGAAACTTAAGTCTGGGTGCAAAATCAGAAATAGCAACAGATAAGCTTTCTTTTCCTCTTAAAAATATTACACGAGAAAGTATCGCTAAAATGATAGCTGGCAACAACACAGAAAGTTCAAAAACACCAGTGTAAGTTGATTTTTCCTTTTAATACAGCTTTAATGGCTATATGCAGCTGATACAAAATCTCTGGCTACAGATGCATGTGTACAAGAAATGCAACTTCCTTCATTATTCAGTAACACAAAGTGAATTTCTGTTTGGAGTCCAATTTTTCTACGTGAGAGAAACAGAATCTTAGCCCTTGGGCTTTCTCTCCACTTTCCACGGGTTATGTCTACATCCTCAACAAGGGCTTATGAGGTGCCAGGCTCCAGGGAGGTAGCCGGTGTGTCTATAGGAGAGTGCTGGCCAGCTGCGCTTCCGTTGACAGGGACATTATTCTTCCAGGTCTCAGTCTGCAGCCCACGCGGCAGGCCAGCTCTCTCCTCAGCCACCGGGTCCCGTTCTTGGGCACGCTAGATAGAAATCACTGTGCTGCTGATGCTCATGCCATTTGGAGGTGTGGGAGCTCCGGCAGATTCTCCTGGGTCCACCTGTCCAGATGTGAGATGTGGCCAGAGGTGCTCCATTTCTCCTGCACCTTGGGGACACTGGACTCCTTCTGCCTTCAGGGCCTTACCCAGAGGTGGGACGTGGGACTGCGCTAAAACGACCCCAGCCTGTTATCAGCCGTGCCTGCCACCTGAGCGCGGTGCCCACTTCCCCCGTCCACCTTGAAGGCAAGGAGGTGGGCTTGGGCTTCCTTCACAGGAAGCCACCAGAGTCACACTCTGCTCTGCTCCTCCCCCGCCTACTCTGTTCACCCAGCCCAGGGCGGGTGGGTCTCAGTTCTGGGTGACTAACCCTGCTCTTACCTGATCATAATCACCAAATCCAGGCAAAGACACTCTAAGACCCTTTTCTACCATTACTCCTGCCCCTGGTCACAAAATGGGGGTGATGGTGGGGTCTGGGGCAGCAAGGAGACAAGGGGTAAAAGGAAATTTGGAAGAAAAAACTATATCTCAGAATATTATCTTGCCACATATGTACTCCCTTCCAAACAGATATAAGCTGTGATGTTTAGATTCTAATACAAGAACTGGCAAGAAAAAAAATGATACTGGTCCAAAACTACTAAATAATATAGTCCAGATGTCCACCAGCGGTTCCCCTGGTTTTGTCCACCAGTCTGCCTGGGCCCTATTTCTGTGTCGAATGTAAGGACCACCCGCTGCAGTCCTTACAAGTGTTCCCTGGCTGTTTCATGAATGGCTAAAGAGGAAGGGCCCTTGGGGAGCACCACACCTTCCCCTTCACTTCCCAGGTACTCACGGTACCTGGGCTCATGACAGTCAGAAGCCACTTGAGGTCCAGGCCACCAGCTCTCCCCACTCCCACCCTCCACTGGATCAGCTCATGCAGCCTGCTTGATTACAGATATTTTTGAAAACAATTAAAATTTGAAGAGTGCTCAATAATACTGATGAGAGTTAGAGGATCCTAGTGAGAAGGAGAAGCCGTTGGCTTCAAAAATAAGCCACAGACACTAGGAGATGCCTGCAGCTGTTTGTAAGCTGTTACCTAGCTGTGTACAAAGTTACGTGCAGATCTGGGCGGAACCCAGTGAATTTGTTCCACTTCAGAGATTTCTGATGATAATAGAAACCCATAAATTATGATGCCTACACATTATACAGATATATGAAGCTTTCATCATTATTTGTTTGATAGGAGGTCAAAAATAGCAACAAAAATATATTTTAGGTGTGTAAAACAACTTGAACTTAATTACATCTTTTTTTCCTTAATGCACAGGACAATAGAAAAGATCTACCCATATTACGTGAAAGCACCTAGTGATTCTAACTCAAAACCTATAAAGCAACTGTTGTCTGGTAAGCATGAAAAAGAATTGTCTTAGAACTTTTGAAAATCCTACTTTTATTCAATTTCAGCAGTTTGCATTTTCAGCCTTTATCAGGCTACTTTCTAGTTACCATTCCTCGTGTGATGAGAAGCATAAACTCCCTGCCTGCCTTCACTGGCCCAGAGGAATCATTCACTCACCTGGGAACTGCATTCTTCATTTTCTTTTTCTCATTGATGTAGAACCTGATTGACTTAAATTCACATGGAGTGCCTCATAGTACTGATTCATCAGTCTGTTGACTTGTTTCTATTTAGCACCCAGATTTTTGACAGAAAACTGACTCATACATTGTTAAATGTGAGCCCCCTAACAATAAGAACAGTAAAAAGATAGCGTGAAATATACGTGATTCAGCCCACGGGTTAGTAAGTCTCAGTAATGGTGCTTTAGTGGTTGTATTTTTCCAATATGACAGTGATGGTAATAATTGATGTTTGTGAATTCTATTAATTATAAAGAATTGCTTGACTTTATTACCTGGACCAGAAGTAGATGCATACATCTGGTAAAGGCATAAATGCAATGTTGTTATCCAGTGTCATTTCACTGGGCGCCAATCAGGCAATGAGCCAGGTAGTGAAAATGAGGCTTCGTGCTGCTCACCTTGAGCTGGGAAGAGGCCAATGTCAGCAAACAGCCAGAATAGCACGTGGAGGTTGCCCGGGTAGAGGCACAGAGGAGGGCCCGGGAGGTGAGCACAGGGCCAGACACCACACCACACACTTTCTTCCTTAGCAGCGAATGTATGTCTTGCAAGATACATTGAGAAGTTTGGTATTTCCCTTTCAGTCAGGAATAGTTCTAGAAATGTGTAATCTGGGAGTACAAATTGCTCAACAATCAGTCATTCCCCATGAAATAATTCTGTCCCTCCACAAGCTTGACATTATTCAGTCCTCTGCGGGCTCTTGCCTGCTAACGAGTTTCACAAGTCCCTTCCTCCCCTCTTCAGGCTCAAAGAAAGAAGTGTCCTCTCTCCTTTCCTAGGTCAGCCTGTCCCTATATGCTATGTCCCACCCCTCTTGCAGCAGCATTGAGTTCCTCCCTCTCTTACACCTTGTGTCCCTCTCCCCACGCTGGCTTCTCTGCCTGTGAGTGATTCGAGGTCAAGCCTGTGACGTCCCTCTTCCCCAGACTATGCAGCCTTGGTCCTCTGAGATCCTGCCCAGAACAGCAGCTCACATGATGAGCCACTCCGAGTTCTCTCTAACCTTCACACAAGGTATATTTAGCATAAGCTGATAGTTATCACCAGTTTACATGTGAGGAAACCGAGGCTCAGGGAAGGAATTACTCAGCTGAGGTGCTACAGCCAGTGGATCCAAACCTGAGCCTGTCTGGGCCCAGGCCCCAGTTTTTCTCTTTATAACTGTCTCTGGGCTTCAGAACCAACATTCTTCCTGTTCCTGAGTGTTCTGGGTGGTTCGCACTCTTCCTTGATAAGGACTTTTGGCTTAACCAATATCCTGCTGCTTCTCACCCTTCTTCATTCATCCATTTATCCATCCAGCAGACATTTTTTGCCAAGAACTGTCCTAAATTCCTATGATCTAGGGATTTATCATGAAATAATGCTGTCCTGGTTCTTACCCTCACAGAGTTTACATTTCACCACCGTGTTTATCAGAGGGGATAATGTTATCCTTGGTGGGAGTGGGACCTTCTTAGAAAGACCTATGCAGTGTAACTGTTATATTTGAGATTCACAAAGCCGCAGGACAGAGAGACAGAGTCACCGAGGCTGTAATTACCAAAAGGAGTTTTACTGTCTAGCTCGAGCTAGGGTCCGAGCCCCCAGAGTGCCAGCGCAGTGGCCTCTTCTCCGGGTAGGGACCCTCCTTTGTGTGTTAGTCCCCTTTTTATAACTCAGTTGTTTACACACTGGTCATGCATCCGCCCCCACAGAGATTCTTACTTCATCCTGCCCTTGATAGGCCCTAACCTGTTCCGGGTCCTAGCTGAGAGACTCCGGTTTCCACTCTCTTTGTCTTTTTCCTCTGCATCCCATAATGTACCCATAATGCCTTGCGGTTAGCAAGCAAGCAGTAAACAGAAGCTGGAAGGTGTCTATTGTCCTTATAGCCCAGTATCTTATACTAACTCCAAGCTTTTTTGCTTTTTTCCTCACTATCTATTACTGTTCTTTGGCATTCACTCCATGCTCCAACTAAAGCAATCACTGTCCTTACATTATTTCAGAACTTTTCTGAGCTTCATGCCATCAACCCTTCCTGAAATGATCTCCTCTCCCCAACCCATCTCCAAACTACTGAAGTTCTCATTCGGCAAAACTCAGCTCAAAAGTCATCTCCCCTCTGGAGCCTGCCTGGGTCCCCTCCAGGCAGAAGCGGCCTTCCAGGCTGATGCCAGTGTTGGTCTGCGGGGGTCGCCACATGCCCACAAAGGGCTCTCGTGAACATGCTCTTTTCAACTGTAAATAAGGAACAATTTTACATGTGATTTTGAAGCCCCTTAGCACTTGCCTGAGTGCCTTTCTCCTGGGCGACATTCAAGAAATGCTGGTCAGATGAGTGAATCAGTCAATTCAGTCAACAGTTGGAGATTTGGGTTGTAAATGTCTACTGGATTGTTTGGAATTATCTGCACAGCTGCTCAGGTGGTGGATCCTCCACAGTCTACCTTTGGCTCCATGTTCACAGCAACTGACCTCTTGAACTGAGAAAGAGAAATCGCTCGCACACAGAGGGCCCACTCTTGCATGCGTCCTTTTCATCCCAGAGCCATACGCTGTGATAGTAGCCAGTCTTGCCCTCTGAGGACTGTTGGTGTACATTAAATGCTAAAATTGACATGGTAACTTATTTCATTTTTCTCCCCTTTTAGAAAATAATTTCATGGATATCACCATCATTTTGTCCAGAGACAATACAACTAAATCTAACAGTGAGTGGTGGGTTCTCAACCTGACTGGAAATAGAATATACAATCAGCATTCTCAGGCCTTGGAGCTGGTAGTCTTCAATGACAAAGTCAGCCCTCCCAGTCTGGGGTTCCTGGCTGGCTATGGGTAAGGACTCATTCAATAATTAGCAGTTATAAGAGTCTACTTCTGTATCATATAAAGTTGAGGATGGTAAACCTTTTATCTCCTTAGAATTTTCCAATTTTATAGCTGCAATATTAAAATTCACATATCCATGACAACTTCATTTCAAACAAAATAAGGAACCAGAGTTCCAAAGAGATCAAAATGCCAACTAGGACTCACACAACCCAGGCATGTGGCTTCTTTACTCTACATCTTCCCGTTATGGCCTGGTTTGATGCCATTCAGGGTTGACATTTAGAAACTGGCGTGGAGTTATTACTTTTCTGCTTAGATTATCTTCTGACCTATAGCACATGGATCCACTATCCATCACAGTTTTGAATACTTCCAAACCATCCCATCACGTTCTGATGCTTAAATCCTGGGACACACACACATCTCCTGTAAAACACAAGTATAAACTGTTAAATTTCTCAGAGTTGGCCTCCTAAGAAACTACTTTTCATGCAGAATTTTTATAAAAATGAATCTCTGAGAAAGACAGTATTCATAAAGGCACAAAAGCCTTCTGCAAAAGAGTGTATATAGTATAATTGCATTTCTACCAGATATATATTTTATACCAATAATATGTTATAATATATTATAGTTTATGCATTTAATATATGCAGTAAACAATCTAAAGTTCATACATGAAACTGTTACCATTGGTTATTTCCAGAATGTGAGATTTAAAAAGACTTTCATTTTTCAATGAAATAGTTCTTATGTGAATTTTTTTACAAAGAACATGACTTACCTTTTTAATAAGAAAAAAAAGTAGATTTTGTTTTCACCAAAGGAAAAAATTTAAGCTTTCATGAGCCTCTATCTTCTATGGAGTTTGAGGGAAAGTGATATTATTTTTTTCTTTTAGACATGCTCTTTATTAACCATATTTAACTGCTATTTATAATTTCTACTTACTGGATTTTTTCAGTATCATGGGATTATATGCTTCAGTTGTCCTCGTGATTGGGAAATTTGTCCGTGAATTCTTCAGTGGGATTTCTCACTCCATCATGTTTGAAGAGCTTCCAAACGTGGATCGGATTTTGAAGTTGTGCACAGATATTTTTTTAGTTCGAGAGACAGGGGAGCTGGAACTAGAAGAAGATCTCTATGCCAAGTTAATATTCCTGTACCGTTCTCCAGAAACAATGATTAAATGGACTAGAGAAAAAACAAATTGAAGCCTAAGGACACAGACTGCAAATAAAGTTAACATTTGAATTTTTTTTTAAAAAGCACAATATTCTCGTAAGAGCTAAGCATTTCTAGTTCGATGGAAATGGTTTCTCTTCTGACAGGTGGCCAAAAGGAGCTGACTTCCTTTTGCAGTAAAAGCTACCTTGCAAGTTAGGGCGCTGTTGAAGACCTTATTTGTAATTCCAGTTCTCCGAAATCAGGGCTACTTGCTTTATGTTTTAATCAACAGTGTCTTGCATTCTGATTGACTATGTGAAGGAATCATTCTTGGGTCCCCTCCCTCAGAGAAATCGGAAGGAGTCGGAAGGAAAGCTGCCATGTGCTTTTCTCTGTGGGGACGGCGCCCTTCCTAGGGAGATGCTATAACGCAATACGTAGCTCTCCTGCACCGCTGGGGCAGCCACGTGGCGAGGGTGGAAGAGCCTTCAGCACACTTAAATATGCAACAGCAATAGGAGGCTGGCAGCTCCCACACGTGTCTCCAGGGGGACAAGAGAGAAAGGGAACCAAGGACTCAAGAAGATGCCAGTGGAAGGATAAGCCTCATTCTAAGCAAAAAGATAACATTAGTGATACTCTTACTGCCTTATCTTAATTGAAGACTAAAAAGAAATTTTTCCATTAAACACCAGTGACTTCTCAGGAAAAAAAAAAAAAAGAAAAAGCAGCAAAACAAATTACGTGGACACCTGCTTTGTTGAGGTCGGTCATGACTGTCTTCAACCAGAGCGACTATTCCGCTTCAGAGGGCTGCTGTCGTGAAAACCGACATGAGACAGAAAGACCTACAACAGAGGCCAACCCAGTAGGATTTGGAATACTTTGACTTTGTAACTCTTTAATAACTGAGGTCAGGATCAGTCTTCCGCCTTCCCTGTCCTTCAGCGTGCTTTCTCCCGTTTCCATGACTTAAGGCAATGGTTTTTCCAGTATATGACATTTTCCTTCCTGTTTTTCAGGTATATCAAAGAGTTTACATATTCCAATTCACATTTTTACATTTGAGACGGGTTTTTTAAGTTCATAATTATGGAAGAAATATGTATATTGAGCTTGGGGAAATAAAAATGGCCTTTTCTTAAATTATTATCATTGGTAATACAACCTCTTCATTAAATAACAATGTAGCATGAAAAATTTATGATTGAAATGTAGTTTTCATTCCATATTAAAATACAATTTCTGAGACAAATCTTCGAATAGGCTAGAATATGTAAAAAAAAATCGATCCTGTGTAGTTTGGGTTCAGGACTGAGTTCAAATAAAGTACATCTTGCAAAGTCATTGTAAGAATACTCCTTATTCTGCCTTTTTGCACAAAATAAGTACAGTCCACTTCATACTGGTTTTGTTTTATTTTCTCATGTGAGTATTCATATGAATAATATGAGCAGGAAACAACTGGGAACAAAGTAATTTCCGAAGAGGAAATCATTAATAATGAATATGGAGCTTAAAAAAAAAACAGCAGAATTCAAATGATGTTCAGTGTCTTCTAGAGAATTAATTAGTACATATTTGTTCTTACACTGTGAAAGCCAGCATGCTTTCACCCTGCCGAGATAAACTGCTTCCATCATGGTAACAATAAACTCAAACTACTCAGTGCAAAACTTGGGTGGCAATGTGCTTTCTCGACAACAGGAAGAAACATGGTGCATACATCTGGTTGTGAGTTCTTTTTCTTTTTGGTTTCTTTTATTTAATTTTTTTGAGATAGGGTCTTGCTCTGTTGCCCTGGCTAAAGTGTAATGGTGTCATCATAGCTCACTACAAAATCAAACTCCTGGGCTCAAGCAATCCTCCTGCCTCAGCCTCCTGAGTAGCTGGGATTACAGATGCATGCCACTGTGCCTGACTAATTTTTCTATTTTTAGTAGAGGCAGGGTCTCACTATGTTGCTCAGGCTGGTCTGGAACGGAACCCTTGGCCCCAAGCAATCCTCCTGCCTCAGCCTCCCAAAGTGCTAGGATTATGGGCATCAGCCACCACACTCAGCCAGTTCTTTCTTTTAAAAGAATCAACAAGGAATTTCTAGAAAGCAAATTTAGGAAAGAGTAGGCATAGGAAAATGCCCATGAGAAGAAAGAATGACAATCAAAGGGTACCAGAACTGAAATATTCCTCAAGAAAATAATTTCCAGGGTTCAAGAAAAAAGCGTCTGGGTGTGTAGGAGAGGAAGATGCTGAAGGAAAGCTTGCTGGCCGAGGAAGGTGTGTGCTAGAAAGGAGATCACACAGACAATGTGGAAACCTGGATTCTGGTCCTGGCCCAGCCACTGTGACCATTCTAAGCCTCAAAGGGTGCCCAACCCACCCAAGTAGCTGCTCCCTTAACTCAAGTGGCCTGCTGCTACCCGAGATGGGGTTCTCTGGCCGTCAACTCTGAGATGGGGAGTCACAGGAGCACATTTGGGGGCTGTGGTCCTGGGAGTGCCCCCAGCCAGGGAGGAAGGCAGGACCAGGCCAAGGGAAGAGCTGCCTCGAGATGCAGGCCCAACGGACCGCCACGTGCGTGGTGGGGCCTCGGGGGCTGGATAGCTGTCTGCTGGCCCCGGCTAAGCTGGAGGCTTTGACGAGGCAACTCCCTGCAGGCTGGAGGTGATCGCTTTTGAGGCACCCAGCCGTGCCCATGAGCATGGACATGTGGGTGTGCAGAGGGTTCCTGGGAGATCCGGCTTCGCAGCCAGAAGAGAGACTCGCCTTCTGCCCCAGTCCTGCCTCCCCTGACCAGCTGCCTGCCTGGCGGGGCAAGCCGGACCCTCAGCCTGAGGAGTCTTAGGTCCCGGCTTTATGTCTTCATGCTGTGGCAGCAGCACCACCTCTTTGTCACTCAAACGGGACACCAAGCACCCAGGAGAGAGTGATCCCCTGAGCACATTCTTCCCACTCCGCTGGATGGCGGCAGCCCAGGTCAGCCCTGTCTGTAGGCCACCCTCCCTTGTCATATCTGTGCATTCTTCACTTAGCGTCCTTCCAACATAGTCATCCCTTCTGAAGTAATTATTGTCTTTTTTCACTACTTTCTTCCTGAATTCTAACACCTCATTTCTGAGTTTTCTAATGCAGATTTTTATTGTTCTTTAATGTCCTTAATTATTTCTGAATATATTTTAGCTCACTTTGAAATATTGGATTATCGTTTTCACACATTTTGCAAGTGTCTCTTTCTGGCAAATGTTTATAGTCTCAAAGGACATGATCCTTCTCCTTATTCTTTTCTTGCTGATAGCATTTGGTATCAGACTTACACACCATCCTTTTCTGTTGCTGCTTTGTGGGGGACATTTGTTTTACTGACTTTTGGGGGTGGAAGCTCTTCTTCAGCTCTGGAAGCCCCTGTGCTGTGGTTTGGACGTGTTCCTCCCCAAGGCCTAGCACCCAGGCTTTGTCCCCTCCGTCCCCTTTGCCTGGGTCCTCTCTCTTCCCTAAGGCAGCTGTTCCCCTACACATGGACTCTATGCCCTGCGGCTTCTCCTCAAGGAAGATGAGGATGACGTGGGGCATTGTCCTAGGAAGGAGTTTCAACTGATCACTTTGGAGAGTTCACAGGCTTAGCCTGGCCCAGCCCCTTCAGCCCGCCGACCCCTGCCCTCGCCCCCCATGAGAACGTGCAGAGCCTCTCCCGGTGTGGAGGGTCTGTCACCCGTGATGGGGCCCCAACCCCAGCGCTGCCACATTACGCCTTCTCTCTTCCGCCTCCTGTGGGGGCCGGGGGGCTGCCGCCACTCCCGTCCTGTCATCCCGTGGAGTCTGGGGCTGGTTCTGGCTGGGGTAGCTCTCATCTGGGGTTTTTGCTGTTGTTTTAGTGGGGAGAGAAAACAGGGAGTGATTGAGGAAGCCTCGATACCTGGTGGCCACCACGTTTACCCACACAGAATGCCTCGAACCACAGTCTAAACACAGTATTTAACGATAGAGATTACATTGCCCTGGTTGAGTTAATTTCTTGGCATGAAAGTGCCTTCGCACAATCAGTGCCCACAGATGACTGGTTCCCAAAGTCTACATTGTTTTGAGTAAGAGACATTTCTTTAAAAAAATAAAATATTATTATTAATTGAAATGTTATTTTAAGACAGGCATCTGTGGTTATGTTCCCACTTAAGTTTATTGATCAAATTGGCCTTTAATTATCTCTTTTGTTAGTATTTCCAAAGAGTTGTTAGAGATTTTCCCTATTATTTCTTTGCTTTTTAGTTTATAAATTTCTGTTCGTGTCTTATTTCATTTTTTCTTTTTCTTTTTCTTTTTGGCTTCTTTGTGTTATTCTACATTCTTTTTTTGACTTCTTGGGTTGGGTACATAACCCATTACTTTTCCTTTCTAATGCAGGCATTTGAGCATATCTATAGGGTATCCCAAATCAGAAGTATAATGCTGCAAACTTACAGAAATCCTCACTTGAAAGTGTAGTTATTTAAATATTCCATACTTATTCAGCTATGTGGATTTGAATGTTACATTTTAGTTTACATTTAGCATGCGAGTCAGGTCCAGATGGCCTCTCCAGCCCAAGGAGTGGCAGAGAGGCCTTGTCGCTCACCAGCCCATCTCCATCGGACCTTTTATGGAAGGATGTTCTTTGAAAAGCCTTGAGATGCAATCCTTCTCATGCTGCTCAGCTTTCGCATTTGAAAATTGACTACACCCCTAGCAGGGGTGGAGAACCTAACGGCCTTGGGGCCACATGTGGCCTTCTGGATCCTTGATTGCGATCTTTTCACTGAATCCAAATTTTACAGAATAAATCCTTTTATTAAAAGGGGTGCAGCAGAGAAAAGTGAACCTGTTCTTGCCTCCTTTCGTGTTTAAAAAAGAATAATCTTGAAATCATGCCACAGGTTCCCCGCCCCTGCCAGCTAGCACAAGAGGGTGGTTATCTTGACTGTCAATAGGAAAGATATCAGTATCCCAAATTTTAAATTTATTATCCTTTACGGTGTTGCCTTTTCTAAGTTTGTAGTATTTATATTTCTAAAACCATTACAGTTTGAACCCGCAGTAAGACTTTTGAGACCCTGTGTTTTCTTCTGTGCAGACTAAGTCCTATACCAGAGAGGCCTGGCAGATGGAGTGGTCACAACAGTCCAGAAGCCAGGCCAGTGTAGACACCAGAAGGGGACCAGATGGGGAGGAAAAAGGAGAGAAGCACTCACTGAGGGTCCTGGAAGGAAGTTGGGGAAGAAGACAGAGGAACTTCTGAAATCATCCCAGCACTCCAGGACTGGCCCCTGATGGAGTTTGTTTAAGGTGTTCAGGAAAAGCCAGACAGAGCAGTTCCTGCCTCTCTCACCCGGACCTACTCCACCCACGGAGCCAGAGAAGGATAGCTGGAGACAGGTTTGGGAGCTGCCAGGATAATTAATAATAATATAAATAATACTCAGTCAACACTAGCTCTCATGGTTATGTGCCAAACCCTGTGCTAAAAGCATGAGGAGTCAGACAAAAAGAGGTTTAGGGACGTGCCAAAGTGCAGGTGGAGTTTGTGGGGACGCTCCTGCCTGCCCCGTGGGCCCCGCCTTCCTGCTGCGCGTCTTCTCCACTGCAGGCTTCTTGCTCTCCTGCCCAGCCGAGCCCTGGTCCATGAGCACCTCTACTTGGAGAGCACCCCCATTTGTCAGAGCACGCCTAGCACCAGGATTCCCAGCGGCCTGTTTCATGTACTTGCTGTGGGATTAGGTACCAGTGAGCAATTTTAAATCTATCCTGTCTCTGTGCCTCCCACAATATTTCTTGCCCTGGCTAGCACGTTTCTGGCATGGAAAAGTATGGGAATGAGACATGCTCTTTCCCACATGAGGTGTCACTGGATTGCTCAAGCAATCAGGGTGACAGAGGTGACTCTCCCTGTGCACCCTATCCAGCCCTCTCTCCAGACACTTGCTCTCAGAGCAGAGGGTCAGGTGGACAGTGGGAGGCATTTGGGTCTAAAGTGCCACCAGGGTCAACCATCCGCAGAATTAGGGTCTCTGAGGTTTCAACTTAACCAGAAAACCTGACTTTTGTGCTTGGCAGCCTGGTCTTTCCTTATTCCTTGATAATCTCATCAACTGGGTCATGAATAGAGTAATGCTTACTGATATGGGCAATATGGAAAACTGTTACTGTTAAGATTAGTGCTGTAATAAATTCAGTTTCTATGTTTTCTTCGGTCACAATCAAAATGAGACTTGGGACTCGTTTGGCACTGACAGTTGGTGAAATCTTACCTTGGCCCCACCGGCTACCCCATTCCACCTGCTCTAACAGTAGCCATGTGCTTCAGAGCCTCTGTTGTC